CTAAGGGTTGTCAATAAAGAGTAAAAAATACATTGCGAAATTGTAAGTTACTTAGGTTAGGTAGGTGACTATGATCGACTGACCATATTTTCGCTCTACGTTACGACCATGATATGTTGCTAGCGCATGCAACTCGCAAGATCGTTCGTCGAGAATCGCGATGCTTGGCTCTAAAGAAATAGGTAGGTAGTGTAAACAACAAATAAACCCGAAATACGATTCCTAAATAAAATGTGATCGTATTCTACTTAATGATTTCTTAAATTTACGCGAACACTACACATTGAATAAAACTATTATTTACGGATTTTATCGTGTTTAATTCAACTTTAATTTATTTTTATTATCCCGACGTTTTGGGTGCTGTAAAGCACGGTGCCGTGTAGTGGCGGTTGAGAATATCCACTACCCCATATCTTCCCGTGGGTGTCGTAAGAGGCGACAGAGGGACACAGAAAGGAGATGGGCAGCAGCATCTTCCTAATAACAACAATAACATAATAAAAAACTGCGGTTGCCAACCCGCTCGCCAAGCGTGGCAACTATGGCAAATATCCCCCCATGAGCAATGACGCAAACAAACGGCCCCCAGTCCCCGGCGGCCCCGATATTCCTGGCTACGATGGCGACCATGGTAACGGCGGGGCAGGGGGTGCTAAGAATCTCCGGTGGGGGTTCGGTTGCCACCTACGACGACTCGACCTGGCAACGAATAACGCACGCACCCTGAGGACTGACGAGAAGATACTGGAGCTAGAAGAAGAGGTAGACAAGTTGCGCTGGCATATTATTGGATTATCTGAGTTCCGAAAAGAGGGGGAGGACACGGTAATCCTCGGGTCCGGCAACTTGTTCTTTCACCGGGAAGGCGACCATCTGTCCCAAGGAGGTGTCGGATTTATCGTCCACAAGTCTCTCGTCAACAACCTTGTAAAGATTGGGAGTGTGTCGACGAGGGTCACGTACCTGATACTCAGAATCACCAAACGGTATTCGCTGAAGGTCATACAGGTCTACGCACCAACCTCGGCACATCCCGATGAGGAGGTGGAGGAAATGTATGAGGATATTTCTAGAGCCATGCATTCCTCCAAAACACACTACACGGTGTTGATGGGAGACTTCAACGCAAAACTAGGCACAAGAGAAGGCGGTGAGCTGAAGTTAGGGAAATTTGTAGTAGGGCAACGGAACCGTAGGGGCCAGCAGCTTGCTGACTTTATGGAGTAAGAGGGACTCTTTATGATGAACTCTTTCTTCCAGAAGCGGCCCCACAAGAAGTGGACCTGGTCGTGCCCCGACGGTTCGACAAAAAATGAGATTGACTTCATTATGACGACCAGACGCCAACTGTTCAGTGATCGCAAGGGTGAAAACCGGCAGCGATCACCGAATGGTTAGAGACACACTGAACCTAAACGTTAAGTTGGAGAGATCTCGTCTAATGAAGTCAACGCTCCGTCCCCCTCGTGCTCTAATCCAGAATCCCGAAACCTTTCAGCTCGAGTTACGTAACCGCTTTCAGTGCCTAGAAGATTGCAATGCAATGGACGATATGAATGACAAGCTCGTGGAAACTGTCCATGCGGTCGGAGCTAAGTTCTGCAAGACCCGCCGCAGAAGAACACAAAAACTCTCCGATCACACTCTTAATGTCATGGCTGTTAGACGGGAGATGAGGCTGCAATCGTCAACAGATTTGACAGCATACAGGCAACTGAACAAACAGATCTCCAAATGCATGCGGCGAGACTTACGCAACTTTAATACTGCTCGTATTAAAGAAGCGATCGAGTGGAACCAGGGCTCCAAAGTCTTTGCCAGAGATCTGTCTGCCAGAAAGAGTCAACTGTCAAAGCTGAAGACTGAGTGTGGCAGCATCGTTTCCGGGACACCTGAGATTTTGAGTGAGATTGAGAGGTTCTATGGGCAGCTGTACACATCATCGTTGGAGCCACACGCAAGTATGATTAACGATCTAAGAGCAAGTCTTACCCGACACTATTCCGATGATATCCCGGACGTCAGTCTGAGCGAGATTAGAATGTCTCTCCAGCACCTTAAAAACGGCAGGACCCCAGGCGAGGATGGAAATACAGCGGAGCTTCTGAAAGCAGGTGGAACACCGGTACTTGAAGTCCTTCAGAGGCTCTCCAATTCCGTCCTCCATGGTGGCACTACTCCGGAGGCGTGGAGCAGAATTGCTCTGGTCTTATTCCTTAAGAAAGGCGACAACGCTCTCTTGAAGAACTACAGACCGATTTCCCTTCTGAGCCGCGTCTACGTGCTGTTTTCGAGAGTCATTACGAATCGTCTCGCACGCAGACTCGACGACTTCCAGCCTCCCGAACAAGCCGGTTTCCGAAAAGGCTTCAGTACCATAGACCACATACATACCCTGTGGCAGATTGTACAGAAGACTGAAGAGTACAATTTGCCACTTTGCCTGGCGTATGTGGACTATGAGAAAGCCTTTGATTCCGTCGAAATTTGGGCAGTGCTACAGTCCCTTCAGCGGTGCCAAGTTGACTGTCGGTATATCGAAGTGCTGAAATGTTTGTACAGTAGGGCTACGATGGCTATCCGAGTACAGAACCAGAGTTCGAAACCTATCCAACTGCAGAGAGGTGTAAGACAGGGTGACGTTATATCCCCGAAACTCTTCACCGCTGCTTTGGAAGACGTTTTCAAGCTACTGGACTGGAGTACATCACTCACCTTCGATTTTCCGACGATATAGTCCTTATGGCAGAATCGCTGAAGGACCTTAGCACTATGCTCAATGACCTCAATAGTGTCTCCCAACGGATAGGTCTTAAGATGAACATGGACAAAACAAAAATCATGTTTAATGTCCATGTCACACCTATGCCGGTAGTTGTTGGGAGCACTATGCTCGAAGTTGTTGACGAATGAGTACGTTTACCTGAGACAAATAGTCCGACTAGGTAAGTCCAACTTCGACCGAGAGATCAATCGACGGATTCAACTCGGCTGGGCAGCGTTCGGGAAATTTGACACATCTTCTCGTCAGGTATACCTCAATCTCTCAAAACTAAAGTGTACAACCAGTGCGTGTTGCCAGTGATGACTTACGGATCTGAGACGTGGTCCTTCACTACGGGCCGTATGAGGACGCTCAAGGTCACTCAGCGAGCTATGGAGAGGGCTATGCTCGGAATTTCTCTGCGTGATAGACTCAGAAATGAGGATATCCGCGGTAAAACCAGAGTGACCGATATAGCCCAACGGATTAGTAAGCTGAAGTGGCAATGGGCCGGCCATATAGCTCGAAGAACCGATAACCGATGGGGAAGAAAGGTTCTCGAGTGGCAGCCTCGTACCGGTAGGCGTAGTGTAGGGCGACCCCCACTAGATGACGATAGAGTGACGACCTGGTAAGACATGCAGGAAGTCGATGGATGCAGGTGGCTCAGGACCATGCTTTGTGACGTTGCTTGGGGGAGGCCTACGTTCAGCAATGGACTTGTGAAGGGCTTTAATGATGATGATGATGATGAAAGCACGGTGGTCACGGGGGAACTGAGATGTTTGACGTCCCATTGACATAGTTAGTCCGGCTACCTTCAGTTTTTGAATATTAATTTTTGGTCCGATTTACGCAAAATGAGCTTATAGTATCATGAAGTCTTGCAGTGGTATTCTTGGGTTTGGGTTTAATTTTGTAAATTATAGGATCCCAAGCAGCTAGCAGCATACATCCATCTTCTCTATTGCAATTTGGATGGTTTTTAATTTCAATAGTCTCGCGTATCATCCTTGGTAGGAATCGGTGTTCTTTTGCGAGGATTTGTGGTTTATCAAATGTAATATAATGGGTTGGACGATCTTGAATGTTCGCAGACTGCAGACTTCCCGGAGCGTCGGTGTTTCACGTCAGCTATATGTTCCTTCACGCGGGTTTTAATAGATCTTTTTGTTTGACCTATGTAGGAGAGACCACATTCACAATCTAGCTTGTACAAACCTGCATCTTGTAAAGGAATATTGCATTTGATGGATGGTAAAAACTAACTAATCTTCTTCGGCGGCTTGTAGTATGTTTTAATGGACGCTCGCTTCAAGATGTAGCCAATCTTGTCTGTGACTCCTCTAACATACGGTAGTATAGCAGGCGCGCGCTCGACTATGGCCGGCTTCACTCGTTCACTGTGACTTAGGCGCGGGACCCGAAGCTTGTTGTCTTGCAATACCTGCTTGACATGCTGAAGCTCGGCGGCCAGATGTTTTCTGTCACAGATCCCTCGTGCTCTCTGAAACAAAGATTTACCCACGGTAGCTAACTGTGAAGGATGATGGTGAATCATCCTTCACAGTTAGCTACCGTGGATGCGTAGGTATGTAGCCCGGGATGTCTTGTGATTGTAGGCTATTATTTCACGCAGGTAGCAAGAGTTACAGACGCCTGCTCAATTAAGCGGGTTACGGGAGGAGAACTCTCGGCAAAAGCGAACGCAACTTAAATTTTATTCATTGTTTTAAGATACTGTATAGGTACTGCAATTTGTTTAATATGCCGGGAAAGTGTTGTCGGAATAAAGCGATACAATTTATTTCGCCACTATACAAGAAAGCACAATTCATTCACTGAAGCCTTTCCTTTGGAATCGAATAAAGTAGCTGCTTTGAAACCTGCAATTCGTCGTCAACAAAATATTATGACGACAGCGGTTGGACAAAACGAAGCTGTTACAAAAGCATCTTACCAAATTTGTTGCATGCTTGCAAAAAGGATGAAACCTTTCTCTGATGCTGAATTAATAAAGGAGTGCATGTTAACTGTTTTTCAGTCTTTGTTTCAAAAATTTTCAAATAATAAACAAATAATCACGGAAGTAAAAAAGCTTACGCTTTCTGAATCAACCTGGCGACACCGATTGATAGGTTGAAAAACTGCAAAATACTTTAGCCTTGTGTGTGATTCTAGTACGGATATATCCTCTATGTCTCAGTGCTCACTTTTTATGCGGTACTGCACTATGGACGGAATCATAGAAGAAGACTTTTTAGCCGTCATAACCATGAAGGACCATGCGAGAGGTTGTGATTTTATGGACGCTCTGAAAGAATTTGTCGAAAAGTACGGTATACCTGTGAGTAAATTGATATCAGTGTGTACTGATGGTTGTCCGTCAATGTTGGGTGCAAATAATGGTCTTATTGCCTTAATGAAGAGAGAATGGAATCTACCTAATTTGCTGCCCATTCACTGTTTGCTGCATCAAGAAACCTTGGCATGTCGAATTTCTAATAATAAATTGAACGATGTCATGAATACTGTCATAAACTTAATCAATTACATTCGCGCGCGTGAACTAAAGCACCAAAAATTTAACGACCTACTTGAGGAATTACAAGCTAATTAAGGTGATGTAGTCCTACACACTGCCGTCAGATGGTTGAGCAAAGAAAAAGTTCTAGAACGGTTCTTTAATTTAAAATCCGAAATAATTCTATTCTTACAAAAAAGTGGTAAAGAATGTCCTCAACTTCTCAACGATGAATTTACGGCTTTTTTGGCTGATATTACCATGAAATTTATTGATCTTGATTTAGAGTTGCAAGGGCCTAACAAGATAAAATATATGCATTTGAAGCTAAACTTCAACTATATATAAATGAGGTCCAAGCGAGAGACTTATCAAAATTTTCATATGTTGCAGCGATGCAATCAGAGTCGTCTATTCTAAAGTTGTTCAAAACGACTATAAATCAATAGCACGCTACAGACTATAAACTATAAATTTCTAGCGCGCTATTAAATACGCTATGTTATAGCGCGCTATTTATAAGAAAGCGTGTAGGAGGCCGGTAAGCGCGTTAAGTTTTACAGCACGTTACATTACATGTCGTTCATTGGATAGATCGCGTGCTATATAAGAACATTATTTCGTAATAAGTCGCATTTTAGACTAAAATAAAATAAAGCGGTAAAGAAAAACCAATGCACGCGTTTTCATACTTTTCAGGCTTACTCCTTTATATAATCCTAAAAATATTTTTAAGTTATGTACTATTTAAAATAGAATTAATTTTATTTTTAGAATCGAAATAAAATTATTTATTTTTTTATTATAATTGATGTAAACATTATTTTAACCTTAATATAAATTGTAAATCAAATAAAAGTGTATTTAAAAGTTTATTTATTGTATTTATAAAAATCAATTATTTACATACACTATTATATATACACTTTTGTATCTATATTTTATTTACATTTAAAAACATAAGTTAGGCTTCTTTTATCACAACTGTGTCCTTTGATCATTTATAAATATACAGTATACACTAACTAAACAACGTCTAATATTAAAATAGGTCGCGCGCGATGTATAGCGCGCTACGAGATAAAATTTGCGTCACACGTCCTCTCCCAACAGCGCTGCTGCCAGAACCAGGGGTAGGACAGTTCCATATATTATCAGATTTGACGCCATTTTTTCGAAATGCGACATCTGTTATCGCCATCCAAAATAATGAGTTACTTTATGTCACCGCAGATGGCGTTACGATCGACGCAAATATAATTTATGACTGAAAAATAATGTAAAAATATTAATTCCGTTACGTATCATTTTAGTATAATTATATGTAAATATTTGTGTAGATTACAAGCTGCGTAATAATTACGATAGCAACACTGTGAACGATTTCTTAATGATTGTCAAATGTCAAATAGTCACGTCATCACAAATATGGCGACTGCTCCTTGCGTTTGCGCGTGTTTGTAGTTTTCGTCCCATCTTTGTGCTTTTCTTCGTGAAATTAATCCGCCGATCCACGTTGAGTTGAGTCCTATCCTCCGTAGTGAAGTGTAAGAATTTTCCGAAGTTATAGTGTGAGTTGAGCTGTTCCTCCGTCATTCTAGTGCAATCGTTTTTTTGCGACCCGGACGCTTCGTTTGTGCTGTTTCTTTGCGATATAGACGCTTGTGATTTGTTTTTATCATGCCTAAACGGTGTGCATTGGGATGTTCAAACAGTAAGTATAATCATCATTATATCTCTGCCATCTTGCCTCCATAGAATTCCACAGTGCCTTGTCAACTTCAACTTACAACTTACATAAAGTTACAGCCTATATACATCCCACTGCTGGGCACAGGTACCCCCGCTTCTTAGATGGTTTTAGGGCAAGGAAGTGTTCGCCGTGTTACCCCGTTGCAGGTTAGCGAATTTCTCGTTTCTCCGAAATATTTTTTCTTATTTCTCAGATATGCAGCTTTCCTCAGGATGTTTTCCTTCACCGCCGAGCATGTGGTAAATCAACACTTAAAATTGCAACTATGAATTTCATTGGTGCCAGCAGGGACCCAACCTGATTTGCTTGCATAATGTGAAGTTTACAGCGAGCGCTAACCATCTGAACCACCGTGGCTTACATTCTTGTCCTAAGTGATAGATAAATAGAATAAGATTTACATTATAGATGGACCACTGCAGTTATCTGTGTTTATATTTGTAGGTACTTATTAAAATTATACCTTTCCCTCTCCCGGTTGATGGCCATAAGCCATTAGAAATGTTTGACAGAAATAAGTATGAATATAGCCTTAACTTACAAACCAGTCTTAAATGCTCTCACATTTAGTTTAATACATGATATATCTAATCTACAAAAGTATTCTATTGCAACTAACATATTAGTAAAAATTATAACACTGCATTACATGCACTACTTTAATTAATGCATTTCAAGGTAATTATACAAGCAAAGTGTAAAATATTTTTCATTAATAGCTACATCAAAGAATAATGTGATAGCAACATTACAAAATAGTTATAGCAATATTAAATTTTTGTAAAATGGCATAAATAACAAAATCAATGAGGATTGGAGTAGCCATGGAATTACAATTCTGTAATAAAGAACTTGTATACTCATGTATTACAAACCAATTTTTGCATTCATGTTGCAGTTATATTAGAGTATAGTTGTAGCATGAATGGCTCAGCTCGACTGGGGAAGGACCATACTCTCACAGAATACCAGCGTAAAATAGTAACTGACTGCTGCTGTGTTTTGTGTGGTGAGCGTTGAGAACCGGATACCCTATTTACTGGTAATGAGACATTACATCTTAGTCCTCACAGCTAACAATGCGTCTGCATTTTGATTCGTAGTTGAGGATAGATGTAGATGTCTCTTGGCCACAACAACCATTTACCATCAGGTGGACTGTGTGCTCGTTTGTCTCCCTATCCTATTAAAAAAATGGGTTCACATATTCATTCACATATCCAAAAATTATGCAAATCAAATTTTTTACAGATAATTATCAGCAGCAGGAGTGGCCGTCATTCTGGTTGAACCAGCTTAAAACAACAAGAAGAAAAATTAAAGTTTTGCAATCAAACTTGATCAGATCACAAAAGAAAAACAAAACCTTTCAATCCAGAATAGCCAATGCTGAAAAAATGTCTACAGATATTTTATTTAAAAAACTGACGAACAAAATGACCGTAGCAGCAAAAATTTTCACAAAAATGCAGTACACCCAGACAAGCAAGAGGCCTCATGGTCGCAGATTCTCTCTCGAAGAAAAAGTGCTCTCGCTTTCTTTATATAAAAAGAGTCCAAGAAGCTACCCTCTTTTGGCAAAATATTTCACATTGCCTTCAACTAAATCATTAAAAAGACTTTTGACCAAAATAGAAGTGAAGCCGGGCCTTAATAAATGCATATTTATGAAAATTAAAAATACCGTCAAGGAGCTATGTACAGAAGACCGCTTATGCAGCTTAATTTTCGATGAAATGTCAATATCCCCTCAAATCCATTATAACGCTGCTAAAGACCAGCTTAGAGGGTTCACATTTGATGGCAAAAAAATTGCTGACCATGTATTGGTCTTCATGGTGAAGGGGTTAAAAAAAGAAATTTAAGCAACCCATTGCGTATTATTTCACCAACTCAGTGAATAAACCTCAATTAAAAGAAATGTTACAAAAAGTTATTAAGTATGTATATAGTACTGGGTTAAAGGTCATATGTACTGTCTGTGATCAAAGTACAGTCAATGTAAGTGTAATAAATGACTTGGTAGAAGATACAAGAAAAAAATATTTAAGAGAAGAAAAGGAATTTAGGTATGAAATCATTGAAATAGGAAAAACAAAAGTAATCCCTCTATTTGATGTTCCACATTTACTAAAAAGGAGTCCGAAACAATTTACTCACGAAAGATTTAAAATACTATGATTTTGAAGAAAAGTGCGAAAAAATCATCAAATGGGATTACTATAAGCAAACTTATGAAGCTGATAAGTCGTATGAAGAGGTGAGGTGCCTACTAAAAGTCACAGATGGGCACATCTATGTCGATAAAATTAGAAAAATGAAAGTGAAAACAGCAGCCCAAATTTTCAGTCACACGGTAGCTGCGACTTTAGGACATCTGGTGGCAAGAGGAGACATTCCGGTAGAATGCCAAAATGTGGTAAAATTTACAAAATTAATAGACAATCTTTTTGTTTCTTTAAATTCTAACACATTTCATGTGCCTGATGGCAAAATATATAAAGGATGTGTTAGACGATCTAGTCCACACCATGATTTGTGGAAGAATGCCATAAAAGTTTTGAAAACTGTAACATTTATTAAAAAAAATTAAGGACAAAAATAACAAAATCCGTTTGATTGAAACAAAAGCTATACCATCTATAAAAAACTTCATACGTACAATTAAAGGAATGCAACAATTATGGATATTGCTGTCCCAAACATATTCATTTGATGCTATGCTAACACGTAATTTCAACCAGGACCCACTAGAGAATTTCTTTGGGAATATCAGAAGTTATGGGGCGAGAAATACTGCACCAGACACGGTTGCGTTTGAAGGGGCCTTTAAGTCCCTTTTAATTAATAATTTTAACTCGCCCCATTCTCTGCATGCAAACTGCGAAAAAGACGACGATAGCTGCTTGCAGAATCTAGATTTTTTTGTAAGAGAAAATATCGCGTCAACTTCTGATATTCCTATTCCCATTTATGAGGAAACACTACAATTTTCTGAAAGCATAGAAGACGAAATTGTAGTGCCTTTCATCAATTTAAATACCAGTATATATGATGCTGGTCAGGGCAATTATGTGTGTGGGTGGGTCCTTGGGAAATGCATAAAAAATGTTTCAAAAAGCTGCAAAGTATGTAAAAAAAGATATGTATGGCAGACCTGAAAGCAAATCCAATGATTATATACGGGCAAAAGAATATAAAAAAGGTAAACATTCTTTAATATACCCATCTGAAGGAATGGAAAAATGTTTTGTCCAAATTCAAAATTTAGTGACAGACATACTAAAAAAAAGATGTTCCAAAAATGGGTTCAAAAAGTAAAATAAAAATGTTTACCGACATATTTGTTGACTTTCCATTTAGTTGTGAAAAACATCAAAAAATATTACGAAATTATTTTGAAAACACAATTATTCATGTGCTTATATATAGTTGGTGCCGTTCAATAAACCGGATTTTGTCTGGTAAAATCAAATACCATGGTGAGGATGAAACTAAAGCAGCAGCCCAAGCTTATAATAATAAACACAAGGTAAATAAATAAATAATATTGTAAAATAAAAGTTGTTTTTTTTTGTTTATCCAATAACCTTTTGAAATTGATGCGTCCTTACTAATTGGCTTGTTTTTAATTTGATAAAGTTTTACTAAGATTTTGTTAAATAAAATCAAGTAAAACTTTATCAACTTGAATACAAGTAAATAAGTAAGGATGAAGGAAAAGCTACTACTGCCTATATAGTACCTATAGCCAGCTATAGCTATAGATGTTAAGTTTATGGATGGCGATAATAGATGGCGCTATTTATCACATCAATTGACATTTGCGGTTTTCAATAAATTCCACGAGTGGGTTCTCTATGTACGATATATTACTTTCCTCTATGGCCAGAACTAATTGCCGCTAGATATTAATACTTGATAGCGCCAAAGCGCCATAGCGCAATAGCGCCATGGCGACTACTTACATAACACGCGCTATGTGTTATGAAGAGATAGTGCGCTATAATATGGCGCTATGCGCTATATTAACCACCATTAGTCTATTCCCGACAGTGTTTATCCAGATACGGTTTCCTACTCAATATTATATTACTATTTGTCAGAAATTCAAAAAAGATTCAATGATGTGAGAAACATTAAGAACTGTTTTATTCTTGTAGAAAACCCTTGGCATTTTGAAAACAATGATGTGATTTTATTTATTCAGTTTTGATTTTCTAAGACTCAGTTGATGAATGAACTCATTGAACTAAATTACGGCACAGAACTCAAAGCGCATTTCATTGTACATCGTGAAAAGAATGAACACATTGAATTCTGGAAAATGTGCCTAATAACTATAAAAGTTTAAGAGAATGCGCACAATTTATTTTGATAGTATTTTCTTCAACATATCTCTGTGAATCTTCATTTTCCAAAATGAACTTTTTGAAAAATAAATACCGCAATCGCCTCTCTACTCATTTAGGAGACATAATAAGAATTGCATGTAGTTCCAAAGAGGCCAACATAGAAGATATTATTGAAAAATTAATACACCATAACACTTAAATTACATGATACTAGTAGTTAAAAATACCTAAATAATAATATGTTTGTGTACTTATGTTAAAATAAAAAAAAAATACTGTTATACTTGCTAACTATCTATTTTCACTACAGGTAGGTACCTACCTATATTATGTAAAGATCACTCACTTAGATACGGTCGCCTTTATATTGCGCCGCCTTAGCACGTGCCGCCTTTTGTCAAAGGATGCCGCATAATTATAAATATTATAATAATTGACGCCACGTCTGGTCTACTGGTTGGTGGTACATACTAGAACACTACCGTTGCGCCGGATGTTCGTGTGTTTTGTGTCCGAATACCAACCGACACAAATAGGTATTTGTGCGATCTACTAATATTTGTTTCATGTGTTCTTTTTATCTGTTCATTGAATGCTAGCAAGAAACATTTAATAATTATATTGAAGAATCAGAAAGAGCATTCTTAAATAATTTTGACAACGTCATAATGAATCGGCCTGGCAGCACCGTGTTGCAAATTTTATAAACCAATGATTTTCCTCTGCTTTGCTGCTGTTTTCCTCATGATTATTTATTAAAGTTATTTACGCGATTTAGGATATTTTCAACGATAAAATTTTCACTCGGCAATACTAGCTTTCTTGCCTGCACCATAAGAATTACTACAACGAACAGAACCACGTCACTATCTTGGCACTCCTAGAATGACTTCACTCGCAGAATGACTTAAACGGAATCTTCCGCACACGAGGCCTACGGTGAACTTTATACTGCACAAACTAATGGGGGTTTCTTAATATACCCCCAATTCTACCACGCCACCATCGATATGACGCTCCGCTGGAGTGACTCAACCTCTCGCTCATCATTCTCGATCTACCTGGCATTTTATAGACGGACCGACATGTAAATATATTTAATCACTTTGTGCCAATACAGAATGGCGCCAGGTTTCAAAGAGGGCGATTTCTTTGTTTTGGTTACGCGGAAACGATTCGTGTATTTTAATTTAATTTTACCCATCCTTTGACCTAATATCCCTGCCGTACACACTGAAAAGGGAAAGGGGGGAGTGGCGAGGTGCTTGGTGGGAAAGCCGAGGCAATAAAGGCTCGCGCGCTGCTCTCGAGCGTCCTCTTGCCACGCGCCGCTGGTCTGAACCGCATCACCTGGAGCAGTCGCGTTCCAGAAGTAACCGCATCACATAGTGTGAGATATCGTCGCGCACCGCTCTTTTCCTTCGTACCACTGGCCTGAATCGCATCTCTGGAGCGCCACAGAAGAACCCACCTAACGTCGCATCACCGCAACGGAAGCGTCGTCCGCCGCAACAGAATCACACCCCGGTAAGTGTGTTTTTCCCATAATTTTGTTCCTACTTGAGCATTTTGTTTGTTAGTTAACCCGCCCCATTTTGTTTCTCCTAATGTGCTCAAGTAGAATTCCCTCCGAACCTTGGCAAGCAATAGATTTGGAAGAGCAGTGCATTGTTCAAGGTGCCGCGTGCCACATCCGCCATCTTGTTGAGGCATAAGAAGCCATCGTGTATACAATCCACCTAGTATGACATCTCGCACAATATTGTCAAGGCTCAACCTGGGAAACGAACTCGGGAACCCTTAGGCCCGCCGCCCAACCAACAGCAACATTGCTGCAATGTAAAGAATGGTGTTGCAAAATATTATGAGATAATTTGAATTTTAAATTACTGAGCGATTTTAAGACTACCTACCGCAAATCAAAAAAACCTAGAAGTATCTAAGTACTAAATTCTTTGTTTATATATGACCATTCCATAGAAAGTAAATAGCGTATATATGTTGTACTGCATATGTATGCTATACTGCATATGTATGCTTTACTGCATATGAATGTACATGCTGCCTAAGCTACATAAAATGCCCATACAAGAAAATATTGTAGTTGGAAAATCGTACACTGGAGTTATATCGATTTCGATCGCTTCTTAAATATTTTATTATTGTATCTATATCTAGTATTTTGACATTCATAAACCAATGAAGGTTAGAGAGAAGGAGAACGATCGGTACGTGCTTACATATGGCTGTTGTAAGCATAGCCCGCCTGTCCCTGAACTGCCGTCGGTAAGTAGTAGCTGCGAAGTTAGCTGTTTATGAGTACAAGTAGATGAATATAGTTGAATAATGTAAATTTTCTTCGCAGCGTATGTGAGAAAATAATAATGCTCCGTAATTTTATAATTTTTGACAAAACGAACATTAAAAAATGATGAAATATTTTATTATGCGTAGATGTGCAGGTGGTTTAGCATCTGATCGGAAAAATAGACTGAAAATGACTTTTATTGAGACAACTTAGCGATCGCAGCGCCTCACTTATTTTGTCCATTTTTCTGGGACACTATTTTCTACAGCGATCGTTCTCCTTGTCTCTAACCTCCATGCATAAACCTATTCCGCCTATCATCATCACGATAAGCAACACTGGCCAATACCATTGTATGCTTTTATCATCACGCTTGAGAAGCAGATTGATTATTGCAGTACAGGACGTCTCGTAACTTTGACGCTGTCGGTGTAGTTTATTCTGGCTTAAACGAGATGGTTATTAACGCCATCTACCGGAAGCCGTGGGATTTTTTGGCATTTTCCTTGCAAGAAAATTCATTAAAAATTATTATGCTGCGACAAATTATGAAATAAAAACCACCTTTGTCAATTCACAATTTAATATTAAATACTTCTAATAAATCTCCATAAGCTTAGTAAAATATACTAAATAATATACACAGTATTTTTAACACAATGAGTAATGTATGGTGAGAGCAAGACAAATTTGGCACCATCTATATATAGATATAAACGTTAAAAACAATAAATAGGCTTTATTCGCTGTATATAATTGATTATTACCGCATTACAGCTGTGGTGGGTTATGTACTTGAACAGGAGGGGCTTGGCCTTGACTCTGACCTTGGCCTTGGGAAGGCTGACCTTGCACTTTGCTGGGCTGTGCTTGGCCGACTGGATCTTGTACTGGCGGGGATTGGCCTTGAACAGGCAAATCATTGCGTTGACCCTGGACGTTTCCTTGTTGAGTTTGCTGCTGATTTATATTCTGCACTTGTTGTTGTTGAATTGGTTGCTGAGGCTGTTGTAATTGCGGCTGCTGTCCTTGGAACTGCCCTTGAGGTTGTTGACCTTGAACCTGTCCTTGTGCCTGACCATGGAAGTTTCCTTGAGGTTGCGATTGAAATTGTTGCGGCTGTTGGTAGTGTTGTTGCGGTGCTTGACCTGGTTGATATTGCGCTTGATATCCTTGTCGCGGAAACTCTGGGATTTGACCAGGAGCGAATTGTGGGGGAACTTGCCCTTGCGGATGACCCTGATAATACTGCTGCTGTCCCTGGTAGCCTTGTTGAGCTTGATACTGCGCTTGCTGTTGCTGCTGGTAAGCTTGTTGTTGTTGTAATGCTTGGTGGATCTGATGCTGAGCGCCAGGGACCGGTCTTCCGTGGGCGTCAACCTAGTTAAAAGAATAACCGTTACATTCATTATATTATGGAGTTTTTAACGTAACACATTCACTAAATATTTTGCTGTTCTATTATTGTAAATTAAGTGATTTTAATTCCCTGACAATCCTCGGGTTAAGCAGAAAGATATGTGGCATCTTTAACCTTTTAAAAATTACTCCCATAAGGAAACGCCAACTTCGCAAGTTTTACAGAGCCTAATCCTTTTTAAAAGGCCGGCAACGTATGTGCAATTCCCCTGGTGTTGTAGTTGTTCATGGGCGGCGGTAACCACTTACTATCAGGTGAGCCGTACACTCGTTTGCCCCCTCTCCTATAAAAAAAAGTTTTATTATTCCAAACTCATCATCAAAATCTCTACTTTTATCATCATCAGCATTATCATTACAGCCCTTCGTAAGTCCGCTGCTCTAGGTCTCTGCCAAGAAAAAGCACGCAAAAGCACGGTCCTGAGCGACCTACATCATTATCGTCACTCTAATCTATTGCGAGCCCACTCCGATTGCGTGTTGCTGCGTTATTGTTGTTGTTGTCGTTGCTCACCCAATAAGTTTTGAGATGCTCGAAATTTAAAAATGGATCGTATCCGTGTTATATGTTTCTAAAAAGCAAATATATTTAAAAATAGAACTCCATAAGCCAATTGCTGAATATTAAAAAAACAAAGTTCTATTAATTTTCCTGCAACACCTTCCGCGCTTTTCATTTAAAACGATGGATCTTAACCGTGAACATTTGCGCGCTATGATCTATTATGAATAATTTAAATTTGGTTTAATCGAACAATTAAGTTTATAATGGTTACAATTAGCATTAGGGGACTTAGCTCCATCACGCGCAACAAATTTTTAGATGGTTTCCTGAATTCAAAAGGGTTAAAATTAACCTTAAAGATGACCAAAACACCGGGACCCCCCAAAAAGCAGTAAGAGCAGAAAATGTATGGACTACTGAAATGTTGTTTCGAGAAGACCCACGAATCACGTATACGGACATTGAAAAGATTGTAGGCATTAGTTTGGGGAGCATTCATACCATCCTACATCACCATCTTGGAAAGAGAGCGAAAGCGATAAACAGACTCGTGCGGATTGATGCCATGAGTTGTGTATACGTTTTGAAAACGGGGCATCTAGGCGTGTTTCAGAAATCGTTACTGATGACGAGACATGGATCTATCAATATGATCCGGAAAATAAAAGGCAATCAATCATCGGAATGGGTCTACTCAGAAGGACAGTAACCGACAAAACTGCAAAGACCCCGCAACGTCGGCAAAATTATAGTGGCTAGTTTTTTTCCCGGATCGGACATTTGTCGACGTCAATGCTAGAAAATTGTAGGTTAGTCAACTCTGAATAGTATACTACAAAGCTTTACAAGCTGTGCGGGAGAGAAGACCAAAGACCGGGCTTTGGCGAATCATGCTGCATCACAATAACGTCTTTTCACATACCTCCCTTAGAACAAAAGCATTTATTGAGGAATCTGGCGTTGAAACTATAAGTCACCCACGCTAAAGCCTTGACTTAACTCCTTGTGATTTCTTTTCGTCCCCAAGAGTCAAAAAAAAAATAAAAGGCAAGTTTTTTTCAAGCGCCGAAGAAGCCGGGGCAGGGCTGCCTACGAAGAAGCGATTTCCGACCTGTCAGATCAAGACTGGCAAAAATGTTTTCAGAGATGGTTTAGGCGAATGGAATTTTGTATAGAGCATGATGGCAAATATTTTGAAAAGATATAAAATAAATATTAATAGTATCTAGAATATTTTTTTATATCTCAAAACTTATTGAGGACTAAGATAGAATGCTTTGTTACTTAATAAAAGGGCATTTATTACATTTTTTTTATTTTATTTTAAGTTGATAGGGCTAGACAAAATATCCTTTTTTTGTTCTTCTCATTCTTTGTGTTCAGGTGCAGGTGATATAAGGTGCAGCAGCTTGCAATAAGCACTCCATTTTTGTAAAATAAACAATTCAATTACTATAATATAAAATATTTGTCAACATACCAAACCACGTTGCTGCAAATATCTCAATTCTTCGAGTCTTCTTCTCTCAAATTCCTCGTATTCGGCTTGAGAGTAAATTTGATTTTCGTCGATGGGTTTCCAACCTTGAAATAAATGTAACACTTTTTTAATTTCTAGTAAATTTTAATTGAAGAATCAAAGTTTAAAATAAAAAATTAAGTTGTTAATTCAAGTTTATTTAATACTGTTTTTTAGGCCACCGAGACCGTTGACCGAGAGCAGCGTTAAGCTTGCGAGCCTGATATTGCACAATCACCTATGTCAATCAAGCATGACGATTTATGGTGAATAATAAATATGTTATGGTAGCCCTATGTCCAGAAGTGGACTTTTACCCGTTAGTTCATAATAATAATAATAATAACTATATATATAAACTCTACTGGGACCGGGCCATCATCGCAGACAGGACTATTCTTGCGAATAAACCTGATATTGTGCTGATGGACCGGGCACAGTCAAGGATATTTTTGGTCGACATTACCATTCCGTATAACGAGAACCTCGTGAAAGCCGAAACAGATAAACGAACAAAACATCTGGACCTGGCTCACGAGGTGACCGACATGTGGGGTGGTCTGCCGGCCGAAATTATTCCTGTAGTCGTCTCTGCGAATGGGCTAATCCCAGTCAGCCTCTCGGGTCATCTGAGGCGACTGGGACTCCTTGACAGACGGCGGTGCTCCTCGATACCGCCCGCATCGTCCGCCGGTTTCTTTCCCTTTCCCCCTAACCCTCGGCCGTTTGCTCTCCCCTGCCGAGGGCTTCCACCTGGTTGGGCTTTTATTTATTTATTTATTTATGTATTTTTGTATTTATTTTATTTTATTGATATTTATGTATATTTATCGTTTCATTTTAATTTATAATTATATATTTACATAACCCAACCAGATGAGAAAACTATATAGATACCCCAAATAATAATAAAAATTCTTTATTTTCTCCACAATCTATAAAGAATTTATGTTAAGTAAAAATAACAGCGCATCATCTACAAATATGAGCCAATTCACAAAAGAAGTATATTCTTTTTGAATTGGCTCATATTTGAAGAGCGCAATTTTATAGAAATATTATGTACAAACATTTTACTAATTTTGTACGTGACTCAATGTAATTAACTTAGAATGTTACGGTTATAGCCTTTTAAAGTCCACTGCTGAACATAGGCCTCGCCCACAGATTGTCTCGTAGGGGAGATATTTGCAATAGTTACCAAGCTTGCTAAGCAGGTTGGCAACGGCAATTTTTTATTTTTAGACATCATAAGGAAGATAATGCTGCCCATCTCCCGATTATTTCCCTCGGCCGCCTCTTACGACACCAACAGGAAGATATGCGGTAATACATATGCTTACACCGCCACTACACGGTCAATTAACTTATATTGTACCTAATTAAAACTATACTATATCATATAAGGAAACCTTTTTATGTTAAGTACGTACGTACGTAAATTATACCTCTATCAATGACAATAGGATAGAAGTAGTGGCGAAGCTAGGGCTCCAAACTAGGGCAAGCCCAAGATATGATTTTGTTGTTTTTAGCAGTTTTAGAAAAATACACCAATCTTGATCTGTCTCCACTCTTCAGATTCATATTCAGTTCTGTCGAGGACGTGTTTAACAAAGCACACAGAAGGCATATTACCGCTAGATAGATTGTATGACATATGCAATTGCATAGCTTCGATGGCTTTGTAAAGAGCCGTTTGGGTTTGCTTGAGCGAAAGAAAAAGATATTTACATACAATACATGAACAAAAGAAAAGCATTTACAAAGTACAAAAAAACTATGTACAAAATTAAAAAAGGGAGAAACATCGAAATTATTTTGTTTAAGTTATATGCACAGAACAGATTACGACAGGAATTAGATATAGTATAATGAGAAGATAAAGCTTTGCAAATTTTTTTACCATAAAATAAACGATTTTAGATACATTCGTGTATGTAAGTGCGTATTCTTAAACAATCACGCAGAAATTGACATTTAGTTTCGCATGACCCATAAACTTGTGTGGTGCGAAACTAAAAACACATTCATTAATAATTATATTTATTTAATACATAAATATGTTTATATTATGAAGGCATTTTGTCGTATTTCCTTACAAAATAATCTTATTTTAGCGGCGTATTATGACATTTAGAGAGTGAAGTTAACGATAAACCTAATCCTATTTTCAACCGACTTCAAGAAAAGGAGGAGATTCGACTGTATTTTTAATGTGTGTTCTCCCTCGTAACTTTTTTCTCTGGGTGAACCGATTTTAATGATTCTTTTTTTATTTGAAAGCTGGTGCTTCTCATGTAGTGCCATATAAGAATCTTAAACTCCAAAACAACTGGTTAAATCTTGATCAAAATTTACCAACAAATCGTAAGGTTATTTTAAATATTTGTAGAATATTGAAAATCTCTTTTGGCGCGTAACCACAGCGGTGCAGTGCGATAACCGCTACTCTATCTTCTTTCTTCGACCACTCCATATTTCAAAATGAATGAAAATTAATGTCTTCTATTTTCGGCAAGCGCCGAATCAAAAAAATTTTAATAGTAAGGTTTTGACAGAACTTATGATGTTCTCATTTTATTCATATTGGAGTTGGTTGCACAAAATTTTTACTTTTACCACTTGTTATTTATTATTATTAGCTATTCCGAACTTCGCCGCTGATATGAGGACGCTTAAGGTCGCTCAGCGAGATATGGGAAGGACTATGTTCGGGATTTCTCTGCGTAATAAACTTAGAAATGAGGATATCCGCAGTGGAACCAGAGTGACCGACATAGCCCAACGGATTATTAAGCTGAAGTGGTAATGGGCCGGCCACGAAGAACCGACAATTTATAGGGAAGAAAGGTTCTTGAGTGGCAGCCTCGTACCGGTAGGCGTAGTGTAGGGCGACCCCCTACTAGATGGAATGACGACCTGGTAAGACACGCAGGAAGTCGATGGATGCAGGTGGCTCAGGACCGTGCTTTGTGGCATTCCTTGGGGGAGACCTATGTCCAGCAGCGGACTTGTGAAGGGCTGTAACGATTCTCTCTCTGTGGGTTCTTACCTTCATCCTGATTGAATTCTGCTTTTTGTGTCTCCATCATGAACTCGTGAAAGTCAATGAGCCCATCACGGTTGCGGTCGTTCTCTTTGAATACGTGTTCCCGCATGCGTTCCATTTCCTCAGCCCGCTCGTGCAAATCCTTGTTTGGGCCACCAGGGCCGTACACTTTGTCCAGTTCCTTGATGAAAAGCGCTTTCACTTCGTCCGCATCCCAGACACCGTTGCCATCGACGTCTGACGTAACAATATTATCATATAAACATTTATATTTTTTTTCGATGTTAAATAATTTTACATTGCATGCTCTAATGTAGCCTATAAAAGCATACTGTCTTATTACAAAATGTAGCGCATAATTAGTCTCAAATTTAATCTTTAAATTACGGTGGAATTACGTTCTGTTCTACTTATACAAACGCGTACTTTCTTTTTTATCATGGGAGTTGCAATTATTAAGTATAATTGGGTGCTGCATAACGGTCGGCAGATAGAGAAAAGTAGTAAATGGACACCGATCAAACAGTTTAATCGTCAAGAAATCGTCAAAAGCACACTACTCGACTAAACAGTTTGATCAATTAAACAATTGTATATACGAATGCGGTAGGCCTTATATAGTCAGCAATTTAAAAAAAAAATACGAAATAAAGGAAACCAATAAAAGGCAATTAAGCTTATTTAATATTTACGATTGTAAAATAAGGCAAATAATAATGCACATAAAACAACACTATCATGCAAATAGAAACAGAATATAAACAATCCTCATCATACTCCAAACACAAAAATGCAAAGTAGACAACCATAAAGGCAATCCGTAAAATCCAAACAGCGTGCCAGTAATACAAACATCTAACGGGCAAATGGTTTTCTCGAATTAGCTTAATCATATCTAAAAATATTATTTGAAAATTGCAACAAAATTCAGTTTTTAACGCAATTTATATAAAGAGGAATTTTAAGATACAGCCGTGTGTTTTAGAATGTATATTAAGCGATATCATCGCCAATTTAAACCTGATTTCAAAGATTTTTTTTTAAAATAGGATATAGGTACTTCAGGGGTGGCTTTTGTGTAAATAAAAATTTGAAAATATATGTGAAATGAATATAAGCGAGAAAACTAATTCGCCACTTTAAAACAAACTTAAATTCAAAGTTGTATAAAATTTACTGACAAAAAAATTATCATCTACCTACATAAGAACTTGCACGCTTGGATCTTACCATGCACCATGAAAAACACCTTTGGGTTGAAATCTTTTGGATCCATATTGTCGGCGTTTTTCCATATGTCTAACAACTGTTCTCTGGTCACAGGATGGCGTAGCTGTCACAAATAATAAAAAAATTAATGTTACCAACGACATCACTCACCATGCATCATGAAGAACGCTTTGGGGTCAAACTGTTGGTCCATATTGTCCTGCTTTTCCCATACTTCTTCCAATTGTTGTTTAGAACCGGGATGATGGAGCTGTGTTTACATAATAGCTGTTTATGTATATGTAGTACGTGCAAATCACAAAAATGTAAAATAGTACTCGCCAGTGAAAATTGTTTAGTAACAATTAGAGTTGCTATAAGAAAAATATTCCAAATATAGTGGCCGCGTTATCAACCGAGTCGTCGGGCAATAAATCAATGTAATCAGTCTATCTCGCCCACACTCATTGGGCATATGAAGCGTCATAATGATGTGCGTAACAGCAGGTAGAAGTTATGAATTTCAATCAATCAATACAAAAGATTTAATGAATAGATTTTTTAAAGTTTGAAATTATAAAATAACACAGTAAAATAAATAAAATATAATGAATATTTTATATATAATATAAAGTTGTTATTTAAAATGTTTGGCTGGGCTGCCGGATTGCGATATTTCCATTTTTATTTGATCGACTGTCGCTATGATAACGCCACAAAAAAAAGCAATGTATTCCCGTGTTTTATTAAAATTAAGCTGGGATATTTTTACGTGATTACTTTTCAATTCATTTGAAAACGAAAGTATATTATGAATGACTATTCGCACTACTTGCACGTTGATATCACTCTTTATTTTTTTGAAATCCACGTTAGAGAATCAGTTTTCCATTATACATACATAACTGTCGAAATCGAAGTGAGAAAAAAAAACGATTGATAACGCGGGCAATATGACAAACACTAAGAATACATTATAATTCTTTGAATTCATGCTTTATGGACTTTTTCTAAAAGAGTTTTGCTGTTCTACAGACCGGAAGTCACCACATGCGTAGACGACGTGGTGCGAGTTTCTATTATTGGAAATTATATAAAGAATATCACTTTTGAGTGCAGTGCTTCTTAATACAGACAATATTATGACGGCTTTTTACATTTTCGTGCCGCGACGCATCAAGTGTTGTGCATTCCAATCGCACGTATTTGGTGTGCTCTGGCCTTTAGTCGGTAGGTTGAATAAAAGTGGGTCAAATAAAGTACGCTGATGCAATCGAATCGAATGTAATAGCTCTGTAAGAATATTCACTACCCCATATCGTCATGTGGGTGTCGTAAGAGGCACATAGGGAAATAGGCAAATGAATCAGGAGATGAGCAGCAGCGACTTCTAATAACAACAACAAAAATCTGTGGTTGGCAACGCACCTGCCAAGCGTGACAACTACAGTAAATATCCCTACCCTACTTATACAGCAACCCATGGTTGGAAGCCTATGTTCAACGGCAGACTTTTCATAGGCTCTATCGATAACGGTGTCAATCGAACAAATTAATTTGTACCGAAACCAAATAGAACATTTTCTCGAGTTAGTATTAATAATAATAATAATGTCATCCAGACCGAATTCCGGCCACGGCGGCCTGCCTCAGCGGAGGCTAGCCATCGGTGCAGGACAGGATTATAGTGCCCAAGTGTATGCGCAAGCACAGGTGCACTCTCTATTCCCTCACTCTCGTAATCCGATGGGACGGTAAACCGACACGACCGGAGAGATCAGGTGCAGGACCAACGGCTTTACTTGCTTTCCGAGGCACGGGGGTGAGACACCGCCAACTTCCTGATTCGAGACTGGTACTAACAATTTCTTCACAGAAAAATTTAGTATGAAGCCCGACAAGAGGTTCGAACACGGGACCTCAAGCAACCGCGTTTGTTTTGCACTAGATCAATGAGGCAGTTAGCAGTAGCAGTAGATTTTATAAAAATATTACGTAACACGAACAAATTTTTGTGTTTTAAAATAAAGTATATATTAGTTTTGTTAAGGATTTGAAGTTTGAACCGAGGTTCTGTAGCACTTTGGTACTCTATGAGCCACATCATTGTCGTAATTGATAAATAGGAAGCGGTACCTACATTATACTCTATTTTTAACATGTAAGACACGTAGGAAGATTATTTTTCATAAATTAGAAGTAATAACGATATTACAAATATCGAGCTCAATAATAGGCCGACCCGAGATTCGAACCCAGGACCTCATGATCAGCAGTCGTACTACTACAACCACTAAACCAACGAGGCAGTCAAAGCCCGAGGCCCGAGTTAGTATTAATTTATTGTTACATGATTACACAATAAGCAACAAAAAAAACGGTTACAATACAGCATTACACAATCTATGGAGCCAAATACAAAATGGAGCGCATAACATTTTCTTTAATGCGAGGATTTCCGTCGTTAAAAGGCATTTAGCGCTTCCTTGTCCGCTGCGTGCATATTCGTCTAGCACGAAGTAAACGCGCGACATTCGGTGGACAAAATATTACTTTATTGAAAACGTTTTTGCTTACTATCAGAAAACAAAGGTGCTTACATTTACAATGTTTGATGTCTATTAATATGTTTTAAATATCAGTTTCAACAATATATCAGTAGCCAGAGGACTACTAATATACTGTAATAACAAATAATCACCAATTCTCGTTACTTATTTATTACTTTTAAATAATAATCTTTAAATATTTGGTTTTTTAATTATAATTTTCAGTTTCCTTGTATCAATCAATGTTATCCTTGTAACCATTAGCGATAACAAAGTCAAATCAACAAAATTACGTATTCGCAACGATAAGTGCGCAGATTCGAAAATAATTCTAGGAAATTTAAACATAATTTCTCAACATATACACTGCCTGACTCATACTCCATGCAAATTAATACACTTTACACAGTGTAATTGAAATGAGTATGCAAAAGTTCTTTAAACAGGTTATTTAATGTGGTGATTGATATTATTATGCCGCCACGCAAGAAAAAACATCAACCACCTCGTTAAAATTATCAAAAACAGTATGATGCAAACTACGAAAAACACCGTACCAGAACTTATGACTTTCGATAGATGGCGGTATAATCATCGCGTATTTTAGAAATTTGAAAATATTTTGTGTCCGGTTATGTTTGATTATATATATACACATACATTTATTTAGTTATACAGATAGATTTAGTTATACAGATAGATGGAAGATGGGTGCAAAGCCTGAAGGGGATTGATATCTTAAACCATTTAGATCATATTAAACTAAACTAGACTAAGAAACGCGGTCGTTAAGGAGTATGTTAGGCCGAATCTAAGTAACAGATTGAGAACTTGTGTGATAAGAGAAGAGTGTGGTTTGCAAGATGATTTATCACGCCGAGAAACCCCGAGCGTAGCCCTCTCCATCTCCATAGCTCGCTGAGCGACTTTAAGCGTCCTCATGCGGCCAGCAGTGAAGGACCACATCTCAAATCCGTACGTCATCAAGGCAACACGCACTGGTTGTACAATCTAGTTTTCAGTTTTTGAGGTATACCTGAGGAGATATGTCGCAGTTTCCCGAACGCTGCCCAGCCGAGTTGAATCCGTCGATTGACCTCTCGGTTGGATTTACCCAGTTGGACTATTTGTGCCAGGTAAACGTACTCGTCAACAACTTCGAGCTTAGTGCTCCCAACAACTACAAGTGACGTGGAGATTGAACATGATTTTTGTTTTGTCCATGTTCATCTTAAGACCTATTCGTTGGGAGACACTATTGAGGTCATTGCGCATAGTGCTTAGAAACTCCAGCGATTCTGCCATAAGGACTATATCGTCGGCAAATCGAAGGTGAGTGATGTACTTGCCATTGATGTGAATACCGTATCCTTTACAGTCCAGTAGCTTGAAAACGTCTTCCAAAGCAGCAGTGAAGAGTTCCGGGGATATAACGTCACTCTGTCTTACACCTCTTTGCAACAGGATAGGTTTCGAACTCTGGTTCTGTACCTGGATAGCCATCGTAGCCCTACTGTACAAACACTTGAGCACTTCGATATACTGACAGTCAACTAGGCACCGCTGCAGGGACTATAGCACCGCCTAAATTTCGACGGAATCAAAGGTTTTTCCATAGTCCACATTGCCAGGCAAAGTGGCAGATTGTACTCTTCGGACTTCTGTACAATTTGCCAAAGGTTATGTATGTGGTCTCTAGTGCTAAAGCCTTTTCGGAAACCAACTTGTTCGGGAGGCTGTAAGTCGACGAATCTGCGTGCGAGACGATTCGTAATGACTGGATATCGGTATGTAGTTCTTGAAGAGAGCATTGTCACGGTGACAAAAGTGACAATGTCACCTTTCTTGAAGAACAAGACCACCGTACTTTCAGGGGGGGCATATTGCCATAGTTGCCACGCTTGGCGAGCGGGTTGGCAACCGCAGTTTTTTTGTTGGACTGCAAATCTATTAATGCCTTTAGTGATTTTGCGTGAGTTTAGGAGAGAAATAGCTTCCCCGTGAACGGGTTCCCACCTTGTCATGGTGCTGGGAAGGGGTAAATAGCCGTGGCTAGCTAACGCATGGAAAACGTAGGGAAATCCACATCATGGCTGGCCTGAAGTGAAGGGCCTGTCCGAAGTGACCACTCTGAGTGGGCTTGGTGAGCTCAATACTTACATTTATTTGTAGTATGGCATTATATTAATATGATACACAAATAGAATGGACATTACGGGTAGGCCTGGGTATAGAATTTTTATCGATCTATTTTGTCACAGAGTCTTTATTACTTCTGTGGATGCTCACTTTTGCTGTCAGCGCCAAAATGGCAAAAATCAAATCGCCTCAGTATGTTACAGTGTATATCCAGTTCATAGATAGGGCACAATGTTAAGCCCACATACTGTAGGCACACATACGGGAAGCAGCATCGCAGAGACGAGTATTTTTATAACTATGCGTGAGCAATGTCCAACATTTGGACGTTTATGGGCCGTTAAAGAGGAAAAATGGCGATAACTTTATATTGGCCGAATTCAATCACAGTGACAACTTGTAAATACTATAGAAAGTAATCAATTAAGGACACATAAAGGAACGGACAGACATGCTCATTACTAGCACGAAAGCATGCTTTTGAGCAAGTGCTCATTAGTACCACATGTGTCGCAACATTGCTAGTAATGACCATGCTCAAAATCAACTGACGTCTAATTTTCGAGCATGCTACCTGAGGCGCGGGTAGAAAAAGGCGTGCTCTACTCGCGTCTGAACAGGTTTGCTTATGAGCATGCTATTATCGAATTGATCTCGATCCGCGACAGTTGCTGCATTAATTTAAAATAATAAAACCCTTAATATGTCGCGTTGGGGAGAAGATAAAACTTTGCTTTTTGTGTCCAAATTCTTTAAAGCCATGGATATTGTAGCACAAACTTCAGGTATAAATTCAGATATTGTAGACCTTCCAACACTGTGAAGTGCTGATAATGCGTATAAAGAATCACCGACAGCTAAATATCTCAATGTAATTTCCAGTTTTACTTTAGCTGGAATAGTAGTTATATTCTCGCATACAAGTGTTTCTCTCAATTTTAGAAAGTATCTCATCAAATTTGTGCGGGAGTATGCGCAAATGATTTTTATAACTGTCGATATCACCGCTTCGCATCTGCCAACAATCATTACTTGCTCCCAGTGATTCTCTTCTGTTTATTAATTACGAACAATTATGAAGTTTCCTTTTTTTGGTTTTTTATTTTTCGCCAAAATGTTCTTACATAATTCCGTTGCAAGCAATATGATTATTTTAGTTCTGTACGGATAACACTGTCACTATATCTTTGTACATCCATGTTGGCCGAGAGCCTGGTGCCAAATAGCATGTCTGTCCATAGTTTTCTTTGAGCATGCTTATTTATGAGTTTGCTGGCAAATATGAACAGTTTGCAGAGCGTGCTAATTTTAAGCAAGCTTATGGGCATGCTATTTTTTGGGCATGTATGTCCGTACCATTACAATGCCACAATACACAAAGGCATACTCTTGCCCTAATGAACCCTTGTCTTATAAAACTTTCATACAATGAGATTGGCAACAGACTGCTATGCTGCAGCTATATTATGGCTGTAACACAAATCGTCTCGACGAGGGAAGGAGCATGCTTGAATAGAATACTAGCATGAAATAGCAGTGTAATACTGAAGTTTTGTAAAGTAAGTGTCAAGAATCAAAAACCCTTTATACTGGTAAGAGGCAGAAGAATACTGCCAGAGTCCACAGGGATTGATTCTTAAACATTTTCTTAATTATTTCTGCCATTTACGTATGCGGAATGCCTCGTCGATACAGGATAAATTCCAAGTATTGTAATTCTTAATGTTTTTAATAACAAACAATATAAATAAGTCTTCACTCACTGGTTGATGATGTTTCTTAGCATCCTCTTCTTGCTTCAGTTTTTCCATGTACTCCTTCTTTTGTGCTTCATCCATAGCCTCCATTTTCTGATGTTTCTCAAATTCTTTTTGCATTTCATATTCCTGAAAACAATTTTAAATTTAAGAAAAGTATGGTTTCCATGGACCAAACGCGAATTAGTCCGCTTAATAGTGACATAACGATAGTAAAATTTTACTAAGTAGTTTACTTTTTACTTTAAGGATTTAAAATCCTAATAAAAATCTGGCAACTCTGGTAGAAATGTACCACGGCTATGTTTTGTGTAATCATTAGGTGTGAGACATTCCACCTAAGTCCTTTTTTCCTATCTCTGGGATGGTGCAATATAAATTTGGTAAAGATATGATAATGGGATCCATGACAAAATTGTCAAATTCCTCAATATGCAAAATGTATCAAGCACAACATACAGGCGAATAATTATATACCACGTCAACCGGTTTCAATAATACTACAGTATTGTTGCGCGCCACAGTTGATGGCACTAGCGCCATCTGGTATCGAGTGTCAGAAATAGGAGTTTCAAGATCTTTCTAGAACTCTCCCAACAGCGGCATCTAGTATCGAATAGAAGAATCAAGCTTTCTAGAAAAGTCCACACTCGAACTTTCTGCATCTGGTCGGTCCGGGCCGGTATTTTCTGGAATATTCTGGATGTTTCGGTGGAAAAGGCCTATTTAAAGCCGTTGAGCGCCGCGACCGGGCAGCAGTATTGAATTGACGATACAAGCGAAGCTTTCGGAGCGAAATAAAGTGAACTAAAGCGTTAAGTTTGATTAATTATTAGTGTGATTTAAGTTTTAATTGGTGTTTGCAGTAATTAAAGTGTAAATTTTGGTAATTCATACGGCAGTTTTTACTGTCACGAACCCTAAGCTCGTAACAGTATTTTTGGTTCTTCAAAGTTAGTTTTTATTCCTTTCATGCCCAAACACTCAATCGCCGCTCAATCTTAGGCTACCATTAACTCTCGTGCTGTCTCTATCACTTTGAGTGAAAGAGACTGTGACACTACAATACTTAACAATGTCTTAAAATTGAGCAGCGTTTGAATATTTAGCCATAAAAGTTAAATTTTTCTTGGTACCTCATTGTCATACAATAAAAATTATAACTTGTCATATAGCTTTATGATTTTGAGAAATAAATGGTACTTACTTTAAACTGCTTCTTTCTCTGCTTGTCCGCGGCCTCTAAGTCAGCAGTAGTTTTTTTTATCAATTTCTTAAGGTCCTCAATCTCAAAGGTATGGGGATTACCATGGTCTAAATGTTCATTTGATGGAATTTTCCCAGTATTAATTTCCAAGTCATTGGTTAATTCAAATTGCTAATAACAAAAATAGTCAACATAATTATCATTAAGGTGATTAAAAAGCAGCGTCAAATAAGAGGAGTGACTATTTTGATAATTAATTATTTTAAGCAGAATTTGATAATTAGTTAATTTCTTTTAATGGAAGAGTGACATTTTCGAGGTTATTAATTAAAAAAAACATTTTATTCAAATGGTCTTTCATGTATATTAATTACTTACGTATCTTATAATATGAAATGATTTTGAATGTTAAAAATAAAACTAAAATTTAATCCTAATTTAAATATTATTTTTATCTTCTTATATAGGTGTATAAAAAGACTAAAAAACCATAGAAGAAAAATATAAAAATATGCGCAGAAAATGTGATTTGCGCAGGAAATTTCGTTAAATTATTTGTAATAAATAAAATAGATAAATTATTTATAAGAAAATATCAACTTCTTACTTTTGTCGCCAGATGCCTCAGCCTGTCTAATTCGCGTCTCTTTATTTCGTCCAATTTACTTCTGACGTTGTGATTCACAAAGTCCAATTGTTCCGCTATTTTTCCTGACTGAAAATTAGTAAAAACTAAGTTTGACTGCATATATATCAGAAATTATCCATAAAGCTTGATACTTTATAAAATAATATACAGTCCTGAAACTTCTTACAGTAATAGTTACCACTATCTTGGTGCTTTAGGTTAATATACTCTATTAGTAGCAGTTGAATATGTATATAAAACAAAAAAAAAAAACTGCTATTTGGTACGAAATGACGGCTCCACGGCGCAGTGGCCTAGCATTGATTTGCGGCGCTGAGAGCCGCGTATTCGAACCCCGAACGGAAGAAATATTTGTATGGCCTACAAGTAATTATGTCCAGGTCTGGATGTTTGTCCTTGTGCACAATTTATGTTTGTAAACCGCCTCCACGATACATGAGAAAACCCTGGTGTCCCCACACTAGGATTAAACATAAAAAAGAAGTAATGTCTACAACATTCCTTCATGTGTGGAAAGACTTTATTATTTTTAAATTCTCAATATATTTCATTTCCCCAAAAACAGTATTAATATAGCACTTCTTCGGGGTTAATGAGCTCATTGTTGGTCTTCATGTACATTATTTTTATTTGATAGCAAAGCAAGCGAGCTTACTCCATTTAATGTTGTGAGTGTCTTAAGAACCGGCTATGGGCCAGTGGGACACTATGGCTTCTGATAAATGGCGTTAACCAGCACCATTTACAAGCATTAAATTTGCGAGCATTCTGGTTTTACAATAGCCAGGCAACTTGCCTGCCAAGCGTAGAAATTACAAGTCAAGAAAAGAGCTTGCTCCTTTCTAAAAGACTGAAAATGCACCTACAGTTTCTCTGGGGTTGTGGTTGTTCATGTGGGGGTAGTCACCATCAGGTGAGCCGCATGCTCGTTTGCCCCCTCTTCTATGAAAAAAATCATCCTTTGAATGTGAAGAGGCCCATGTTCACCAGAAGACCATTCCAGTCTGATAAAGAGAGTAAAAGAGAAGTGGTTTAGTTGACTATGTTTTCCCCAACATCCAATAAGTATTAAGCAGTTAAGTTTTGTTATGTTATCTTTTTTATCCTATTTTATGTAATCCAATGTGATTAAAATGTAAATTCTAGATGTAAAATGTTAACTTTATAAACCCATACTTACTCGTACATCTTCTTCATCTGCTTTCTCCAAACGTTCCCTGAAATCAGGATCGCTCTCTAAAGCCTGCACTACCTCTTTTAGATATCTGTGATATTCCATGTACTCCTCCTAAAAGTGTTTATTACATATACTGTTAACAATTGATATGCAATTATATCTCTACAGTTAATATTATTTTTCTAATGCAAAACAATTATTTAAAGACATGAATGCAAAGAATTTTGTTCCAACCAATCGGGATAATGTGCCATAAATAAATTCAATGATGAAATATGGCTAAACACCAACCACACTGTGCTGCAGACATGGATAGATGACACATGCTCGTGGTAAAAGATGAGCGCCTCATACTTTGTCACAAGGGCTTATAGAAAATATAACTACTTCATAAGGGTGACTGGGCCAGTGATGGAGAAAATTAAGGATTTTTTTTTATTAATGAATAAAAAAACATTCATGTTAATGCATTACAGAAAATCAAATAATAATTAATGTAAAGAATTATGATGACGATGGCAGCTCTCCTAGTTGAAGTGAAAATGATTAAATTAATTCGTTTTTAATCTAGTGCAGTGTTTAATTTATATAATTTTATTTCTACAAATAAGCAGTAAGCAATGAATACGAAAAAATCTAATAAATTTTATGTATTGTGCTATGTGTTTCTTATTTATTTTGGTATTAATCTAGATAAATCTGTAAATGATTACTGACTCCAGAATCAATACTAGTAGAGTAATCTAGGTATCGATTTTTCAGTTGAAACACCTAATCCAATAAATGTGGCAAAGGTATTCTTATATTTGGTACTCTGTGAGAGTGTGGTTCTTCTTCGATCGAGCGGGCCCATCTGTGCTACAACTATAATATAACTATAGCTTTGCTCTACCACCTAAAATATCCCCTCAATCCTCTTAAAATTCCCATGCAGTTGCGTGCGTCCGTCAAATTCCGAACGGTCGCATGCAACCGCACCCATACAGCAATTGAAACTTATATTTAAATACTACTTTTCTATAAAGAAGTTTTTCTATAAAGAAGCCCAACGCATCCTAATTAAAACGCACTTCCCAGGTTGCTGCTTAACCCAGGAGGCAAACCGGCATGACGACATACTGACACCAACAGTAGAAGTCTGGAATTTAGCACAGAGAGTGGTAACGATGGACAAAATCCATTGGGCCATTCACAGTTTCCTCCCCTATAAGGCGGCAGGACCTGACGGCATATTCCCGGCACTTCTACAGTGGGGGGGTAAAGCCCTAATAGTCAGACTTGTTGCCATAATGAGAGCCTGTCTGGCTCTAAAATATGTTCCTAGGGGATGGAGGGAAGTGAAAATCACATTTATACCCAAACCAGGTAAGAGCGATTACACTGACCCTAAATCCTACAGGCCCATTAGCCTCACATCCTTTCTCCTAAAGACGATGGAGAGGATGTGTGAAAGGGAATTAAGGGGGTCGGCGCTAATGAACTTACCACTACACGACAAGCAACACGCCTACAGTCTAGGCAAATCAACAGAATCGGCACTTCATCAGGTAATTACTAAGATTGAAGGGGCCATCCAAAACAAAGAAATATGTCTAGGTTCCTTCATAGATATAGAAGGTGCTTTTGACAGAACAAACTTCTCCAGCATAAAAGGTGCACTCAGTAGACATAAAGTTGAACCGGCACTGATCGACTGTATAGTTTGCATGCTCAGTACACGAATAATAAAGATTGCTGGTGAATCTCAACCAATCCTAATTAAGAAAGGTTGCCTGCAGGGTGGGGTCCTCTCACCTCTCCTGTGGAATATGGTCATTAATGAACTCATCAGCAAATTAAATACTAATCACTTTTATACAGTAGGTTATGCTGATGACCTGACTATACTGGTCTCGGGAAAGACAGCTAGCATAGTGTGCGACCTGACCCAAGCGGCTCTCCGTATAGTGGAGAGATGGTGCAGGGAATACGACTTAACCGTCAACCCAAATAAAACGGTTTTAGTAATGTTCACACAAAAACGGATGCTGAATAACTATCATCTTCCAAGTCTTTTCAGCACAAAACTCCAGCTATCCTCTGAGGTAAAATATTTAGGTCTTACCTTGGACAGCAAACTTAACTGGAATAAAAACATAGAAAACAAAATCAACAAAGCTAGTATAACTTTCTGGCAATGCAGAAACATGATTGGCAAAAGATGGGGACTGACGCCAAAAATCATACTGTGGCTTTACAAAACTGTAATCCGGCCCATGATCACATACGGCGCTCTGGTATGGTGGACCAAGACCAATGAAGCCACCACAATTAAGAAGCTTCAGCGCTACCAGAGACTGGCATGTATGGCTGCCACAGGCTGCATAAGAACTACGCCAACAGCAGCCTTGGAAGCGATGCTGGAGCTAACTCCGCTTCATCTACATATACAACAAGAAGCGACTTTAGCTGCCATCAGACTCAAGACCCTAAATCTTTGGAGTAAGAATAGTGTCCCTCATACAGGCATAATTGATAGAATTTACTCAGAAATTCCTATCCTACAAGCCAAATACGATAGGATTCCTAAACAATTTGTTTTCGATAAGAAATACAAGATACAATTAAATGAAAACAGCCAGCCGGAAGGATTAAGCCCAAAAGAGCTTAGAATTTTCACCGATGGTTCTAAAACAAAGGAAGGTGTAGGTTCTGGAGCTTTCTCTGAAGACCTCAATATTCACATATGCACACCGCTGGGTACCTATAACACGGTCTTTCAGGCGGAATGTATGGGTATCATTCAAGCGGCCATAGCAATAGATGCTAGGAAGGTTAATGACTTCCCCATCAGAATACTGACCGACAGTTGGGCGGTACTACAAGCTCTGAGTTGCAATGGGGTGAACTCGGGACTAATATATGAATGCCATCAACGATTAAATGAGGTATGTAAAAACAACAATGTGACTCTACAATGGATAAAGGGACACAGTGGATCCAGAGGCAACGATGCAGCGGACGAACTGGCCAGAAGAGGATCGGCTCTGGCCACTATAGGGCCGGAACCAATCATACCAATCCCCTTTGGTAACGTTCGTTCAATGGTACGTAGACACTTCACTAATCAACACGCTCAGCTTTGGAAAAAATCTAATAGACTGTAGACAAGCTAGGGAGGCCCTACCTGTAATAAACAGTCGCTTAACCAAAGTTCTAATGAGACTGAACAAGCCGCAGATCAGGATAGTAACTAGTGCTATCACAGGACATGGCACCTTTAACAAACATTTATTTACTATAGGTGTTACAGATAGTCCCCTGTGCAGGGCATGTATGGGGGAGGAAGAAACGGCGGCCCACGTACTACTGAAATGTCCGGAGGTCGCTACGTACAGGGCTAAACATCTCGGCACGCCGGGATCACTCCCCGAAGTTGCATGCAACATCAAGGGACTGTTGAGCTTCTTCGGGGGAGATCTCATGGCTCGAATAATCACATTATTCCTGCCCACACGCAAAATACGCGCAGAGACGTGGAGTTGCGGAAAACAGCCCGTTGCAAACTAAACTAAACTAAACTAAAGAAGTTTGGCATTATAGAATCTATACGAAACTCTCTATCCTGTGGTTTTACGGTAGATTAAAAATAAAAATTCATAGAGTAACTGACTTCTGATAAGACTATAGAATACAGAATTTAATATATAATATAGTGGCTCTACCATGTAAACAATACTGTACCAAAAATATAACAAAGGACGAAAAAACAGTAAGGTTAGAGTATTAGCCACTTCACAAAAATCAGTTTAGTAAATGAAAAACATATGCAAAAAAAAAATTAATGAAACACATTTTGTTAAAACATGAGTACGACACAAACATATTTTATTTTAACTGTTCAAATAATAATTTACTACAACTTTTTATGTTAAGGAATTCATTGTAACTTCTGTCACAAAAGTGTCAGCTCTTGGATTGGATGTGAGAAAAAGTGGAAACTGCTATAAGAGCAACTTCTTTGGGACTCCCTTTGACTAGAAGAGATCTGTATAAGCTGGTTGGTGTTAAAAAAAGGCCTATCTCCAACAGTCCACTGCTCCATACTTCAAAATTTAAATTATTAAAAATTTTATTTATAAAAAAAAAAATAATATGACAAAAGATAATATAGTAAAACATAAAACTATCATGGTACCGTAATGATGTTAAAAAAAAAACAATCGCCCTGCATTGAAAATATGTGTAATGTGCATTAATCAGATCAATGCTCAAATAAAATGTGGTAATAAGTATTTCAAGTAAACATTTGCATGGCTCAGGTTTCTTTAAATGTGCTGTAACCATATCAATGCTCAAATAAAATAGTGGAGACTGCTATAAGATCAACTTCTTTGGGACTCCCTTTGACTAGAAGAGATCTGTATAAGCTGGTTGGTGTTAAAAAAGGCCTATCTCCAACAGTCCACTGCTCCATACTTCAAAATTTAAATTATTAAAAATTTTATTTATAAAAAAATAATATGACAAAAGATAATATAGTAAAACATAAAACTATCATGGTACCATAATGATGTTAAAAAAAAAACAATCGCCTTGCATTGAAAATATGTGTAATGTGCATTAATCATATCAATGCTCAAATAAAATGTGGTAATAAGTATTTCAAGTAAACATTTGCATGGCTCAGGTTTCTTTAAATGTGCTGTAAGCATATCAATGCTCAAATAAAATATGGTAGTAAGTGTCAAGTACACTTATGCATGGCTCAGGTTTCTTTAAAAGGAATGTACTCAATTGAAATATCAGCAGGTGAAGGTCTTTATGTACTTACATTTTAAAAGCCACTGAGATTTAAGATGAAGTAAAAAATCTTCACATTTCTTATTTGCTCTAAATAGGATTTTAACATAATATAACAAATATAAAAAGAATGCACAGCAAAATGATAATTTAAATAAATGCCATTGATTATATTACAAATACTTGTAACCACAAAACAGACATAGCTTATAAGGCAGGGATGGCAAACCAATGGCACAATATTTTGGGCATGCCACCAATCACAAGTTCACTACAGCCCTTCTTAAGTACACGCCTCCCCCAAGGAATGCTTAGTTCGATTATGCATAGCATAATAGTCAATTTTGTTGATACAACTGTATTTAAAAATTAATTTATGTTATATTTACGATTTTTAAACCCCAATATAATTATCTGTCATCTAATCTGCAACAACAGAAGTCATACTACTGTTACTTTAATTTTAATTATGCGTATATAGCTGAAACATTTGTTATTATACATTGCAAAATGTTTTTTGCAATGCATATACATCTCAAGGTCAAAATTATTTTACAGCATGTCTATTACCTAATTAAAGATTTTTTAAAAAAAATTGCATGTTGATACATAAACATTCGCCATCCCGGTTATAGGGTATAGTAAATATTAAAAAATGAATAAAAAGTGTGCAGGAAAAACGAAACGAATGATAATACACTACTATACTGTAAATGTAGTGCATAGAATAATTACCAAATCATCTTTTATTTCACTGTCTGGTTCCTTAGATTTGTCTTGAGACACGGGAGGTGCATAGGAACAGTGGAGAAATACCAGTAAACTGATTATACTTGTTTTCAGCTTCATGATGACCTATGATAAATAAAAGAAAATGTACTGTGGATTTTAATTATATAAATGAGTTAAGAACAAAAGTAGTAACAATTGGAAATATTATGCAGTTACATTAACAATCAAATACCTACCACTATTTTAATACCAAAATGTACTTATTTAATCTCTTAAATTATTAAATCTTAAAGCGACAGTAGCCTAATGGCAGGGCGCGGACCGCGAACTCAAAAAGGTCGTGGGTTCAAATCCACCATTAGACAACTGGCGTGAACCACTCGTAACACAAGCAATGTAAGCTTACCAGGAGTGGTTAAGGGGAATGTTAGTAATATTTATAGCATTGTTAATATTCTTTAAAAAAATGTAATAACTCTTACAGAGACTATTGATTTTTTAAATGAGTTTTTGTTGTCTTGTAAACTCTGTAGTCTATATGTGCATATTCGTAATTTCACCACATAGGTGACGATTTAAGATATTCACTCACCTGTATTGGATATTATTTGATTTATATCACTAAAAATCTTTAGACTTGGTACTATGAAGAGAAATTTATTCAACTCCAGGCATCATTGTCATTGCTTTTTTTAGTGATTAATATAATGACACTACTGGTACTGACGTGTCCCAACTCCAAAACCAAACCAATCCGAACCATAGAGAATACTTCTAAGTCAGTGATCCGAACCAATCCGAACCGAACCACTCATGCGAACCACGGATTCACACTCACAGATAAGAAACTTGAACCACAGACTATGATTATAACAATATATTATAACTATAATATATATAACTATGATACAACTAACTATAAGTATGTTATATTATAGTTATATATATTATAATATATAATATATTCTACCGAATACCGGATACTTGAACCATAGATAAATAAATATGTATACTTGAACCGTAAACAGAGAATGAACCTTGAACAACATTGAGTGATACAAAACTAAAATTCGTGCCAAATCGATTGAGAAAAACGGACATTGACATTTCGGTCGTTTAACCAGGGGCTACAAACCTTCAATATATAGGCACATTTTATATGTAGTACTTTATTTATTTACAATGTTTTTTTTACAATGTTTGATATAATATATATTTATTAACTATTATTAAAAAGTTATGTAAAAGATCGCTGTAGAAGAAAAATCATCCATTGTTATAAAGTACTTTATTAATTTAACAACAAAAAGTAAATTGAAATTCTGTAAGTTACGCCTTTTGACACTCAGCTCATATCTGAGGTCATCGTCCGTTTTTCTTGATCGGTTTGGCACGAACCATAGAGGCGCAAACCACATGGAGTATAGTTAAGGAGGACAATCTCCCATAGGAGAATATTTGAAAATGTGTCCATCCATAAGCAGTAAATAACAGTTCAAAAACTCTCCACAACAGCGCTCGAGTAGGTACAGGGATAAATCATAAGGATAAATCGCCGTAAAATACGTTAAGATTGATTTTGAAAATAAAAATTTTGAAAGCAATAAAATTATTATTGTAAAAAGCTGTTGTATTGAGCTGGCAGTTTACAATGAACTCAATTGTTTTGGAGAACAATTGGACGGGTCTGAGCGGTCGCCTTTTTTAGGTATCGGGTGGACAAAAGCCGTCTTCCATGATTTTGGGACTACGCCTAGGGAGTAGGAGTACCGGAAAAGACGCGTTAAAACCGGTGCCAACTCTGGAGCACAACGTCTTCAGCACAATTGGGGGGATTCCGTCAGGCCCAATCGACTTGTGCATGTCCAGGGAGAGGAGTGCTTTGCGAACCGAGCGCTGTATGAACTGCACTTCCGGCATGGAGAGCACTCACACCGTGGGATGGTCGGCGACGTACTCCCCCCGTCAACGAGAGTCGAGTTGGACGCAAAGAAAGAGCCTATCAGATCGGCTTTCTCCTTTGCGGCATGAGCCAGTGAGTCGCCCTCCCTGTGCAGAGATGAAAGAGATGGCTGACAGAAATTCCCCTGGACAGCCTAGCGAGAGACCGGAATGCACGGATTCCAGAAGGAAGGCGAACTAGTTTCTCGCCAATTCTGCCTATATGCTCTGACTTTGCCTTCGCAATGACTCTTTTGAAGGACCTGGAGGCGGAATTATACTTCTTTTTTAGAGCGCTGGTGTTTACATCCCAGGACATTGATGCGTCAGCCCAGGCTTAGTAGCACTCCTGCTCATAGCATGATGCTATTTTACAGGAGCGACCAAACCATGGCTGAGATTTGTCTCCGATGGGCACCACAGAGGAAGGAGTAAAAAGTTCCATACCCTGAAGTACCACATCAGCGACAGAATCCGCAACAACATTGGGATCGTCAGGCGAGAAGCAAGCCCGCCCCAAGGGTAGGATGCAAAGAAAGATCGCATTCTATCCCAATCGTCTGACCTATAGTGTCAAACACGGCGACAGCCTGCAGAATCCAACTGCGATTTCAGCGTGAGTGGCACCACACTTCGGACAAAACAGTGGTTCGAGGAGCGTAAAGGGGCGTTGACGGAAATCTGATATCCGTCCGGGTGAGAGGTCAACAGAAGGTCCAACAGGGAAGGTGCATAATCCTCCACATCCGGAATCCGCGTAGGCGAAGTAACCAGTTGTGTTAGACCATATGCCAAGGCAAAATCATGAACAGATCTCCTCTTATGATCAGTTAAACGTAAACCAAGCCATTCGGCGTGATGGGCGTTAAAGTGGCCGAGGATCACGATCTCTGTGGTGGGGATCTGCTGTAGCAACGAATCTGTAGCCATTTGGACGTAGGCGAAGAGTCGGTCTGTCTCGGCATTACCGCTATGGGACCTATAGAGGCACCCGTAGACGCACTGATGGTCGTCACTGTCTACGCGTAGCCAAAGGATGGACAGGTCCGAACCTTCAAGACTGCCGAGGCATCGAGAACAGATGTCCTCTCTGACGTAAACGCAAACTCCAACCCGAGTCACAAAGGAGTGTTCCAGTTTGTACCCCGGGTAGGAGAGATACGAGACATCAGCCAGAGAAGACACCTGCGTCTCGGTCAGAAAGAGCAGAGCTGGCCTCGCCGTCTCGAGATGGTAGTGGACTGCTTTTGGGTTAGGGTGAAGTCCCCTGATATTGCAGAAGTTCACGGATGGCAGGGGTCGCCTTGGTCTTATTGCTCCATTTGCCCCGAGCACTTGTAGTCTTGAGCGGAATTTTGCCCCCTCCCCCAGAATACGCGGGGCAGCCTGATTACCCACGCTCAGGAATGGAGAAACATGGTCGTGGATGATCAGCGAGGGATTCTCTAGGGCTGCTGGTACCCTCCTGGGGCAGATCTTCACTTAATTCCGCTACCATGTTTAGGGGGGGGGGAATTAGGGCTACAGCCACCTATACTTACCAGATGAAACGCAGAAGCAGAGCTTCCACTTTACGCCGCAATATTCTGTGAGGTCGTGGTACCACCCCAGTTTGAGCCGGCCCGTACGTGCAACAGCAAAGCTGCCGCGTGGGTCTACCACTGTTAAAAAGTGAAGTGAAAGTCTGTGCAATAAAAAAATATGAAAAGTTCTTTAAAATTTAGACTGTGGCTATAGTGGCGCCACCCTTATTTAACGCTTTCCTACGGACACTTTAGACTCCATAAAACTACATTACCGCGCGTTGAAAAAATTGTAACCACTATCCAACCACGATGACGTAGCTTTGAAATTACTAAACATTTTAAATAAACAAGTTGCGAAAACAATATCGTCGCTAAGAATAGTTATAGATAGACACACACACACGTAATGGCGGGTTGGTGTGGCTTACTATATGAAATTTTACCCAAAATACGCAATAAAAAGGAGTTTTTTTAAGCTGCAGTTAATTGTTTTTATTTAAGAAAAGTATATTTTCTTATCAGATGAATAGAAGTAAGCATAGCTGAAGAAATAAAAGATATTTTTATTATAGATATTTTTAAAAGTATTTTTATTGTACTAATTTATTGTGTAAAGTTAAGGCGTAGGTTTTATTATAATTTCTAAAATATTTAAAATCAGAGGTAACAAATTAATTTATTCCATAAATTATATAGTCTCCCATTAATGTTGGATTATCACAAAGGTGGAAAATTGGCAACATTAAACCTAAATTGCAATTTTCGATAATTTTGTTAAATTTTTTGAGGTATTTACGTTCATATGAAAACACGAACTAAAACTTATGTGTGAAAAGTGATTCTGACTTATTATGTTTTTGTGACCTTGAATCGCATTCTTTCAGTACGCATTTACCCATTTTTTGTTGAGGATCGTTCGGCACAGCTCTGTCGTGTCACACTGAACACTGAACTGACGTTAGCTAGGCATATGGCTGTGAGTTTTTACTGTCACGAACCTTAAGCTCGTAACAGTAAAACAACCGATTGAATTAACAAAATTGACACTTTAATTACCGAACACCAATTAAAACTAATACACACTAATAACTAATCACACTTAACACTTTATTTCACTCCTAAACTTCGCTTGTATTGCTAATTCTATATGATGTATTGATGTTTTATAGATGTTTTTTTTTTAAATAAAGTCGAGATATTTTAGATAAAAATAGGAATAAACATTAAAGTTTATATTTTCTTAAAAAAATATCGTCCCCGCTATGAAATCTGTCAAATATTTTACCTCGTTGTAAAGTGGCGCCGCCCTGATGGCAGAAAAAGTCGTGCATGACCCTCATTAGTGACATGTTATTTGATTTTAACCAATTAACTATAATAAATATAAGATCATACCAGAAAAATGTTTGTCATTCACTTTTTTTTAACTTTCCAACAGGGTCTTAAATTTTTGTGTGCCCATGGGCCCCGGTATGGCCTAAGACGACATTGAATATATTATAATTTATAATAATCGTTAACTAGTGTTATCAATATATT